GATTTCAAACCCAATTTTCCATTAATCGCTATGAGTACACAATGTATTTTAACACCGATATGACCCCGACTCTCTGCGGCCACGTGTGCACGAAGACTGGGTTACAAGGCGAGAGAGCAGAATGTAAACTGTGCTGTAAGAAGGCGTGAATTATTGTATGTTTAAAAGTATTATTTGATGTATATAGTTTAATATTTAATGAAAAATTTAATGAAGAAACAATTAAGAGACTGATAGTAAAAATTATACTTTACACAAGTATTAATACTTAATACTTCCATCACTAATTGCAATTATTTGCCTTAGCACCTTTTCAATTACAATTGAAATAGAATACAATTACACGGGACAGAGAAATAAATTGTTTGTTTTGTTTTTACTTTAAAAAAATCGTATTGCTGTGTCGACAGTGAACAGGCCGGTAAAAGCGATTAAAATTCGAAATGATTTTATGCACTAGTGTTTGAATTTAAGATTAAATCAAAGATGAGATTAAGTTATCTTAAACTGTTAAAGATTCAAAAAAAAAAAAAAAACAAACAAACAAACAAACCACAATGTTTCATTAGTCGTTGTTTCTTCACGATGGATTTAAAACGTGATCACAGTCTTCACAGATATTTGTTTTGTTTACATGGTTTATGACCGCAGGTGGCTGGTCTATGGTGACCTCGGCAACGTGGGATCGCGGATTGTGTTACATAACAAAAAACATCTAGGTGAACATGGAGAACGTAAAATGCGTACAGTTAATGATCATTAATTATTCGAAGCTTAGAGTTTAATATTACTTACATAGTTATATAGATACATTTAATTCCTTCCTTTATTTGAAGACGTTGTTCCCTTTAAAACTAAATTAAAAAAGAAAAGAAAGTTGTAAAAAATAATTTATGAGTGAACCACAGAACACGTTTAAAACCTTATTTAGAAGAAAATTAACATTAAATACAGTAGGGTATATTATTTATAGCAAGTTTGTTTAAGTTATACACATGAAGAGTTCTGATTTACTTGCCGAATGAAAACGCTTACCTGTTTACGGGACCTGCTTTTTACCTACATATTACGACATATTACGCAATACTCGAACAAAACAACATTTTTATGAGATCAATAAGGTGTTAAAGAGCAACTTTAATTCCTAAATCCATATCGAAATATTTACCGTTTTTGAGTTATAAAGCGAAAACTTTCAAGGGCTCTAGATCCCTAATTTTAGGGGCCAGCCCCTTTTAAATGATATCAAATGAAAGCTCTTGCTATTATGCACAACTTTTATTCTACATGTTTTAACAAATTATTTTTAGTTTTAAAGATATAAAGGAAAATATGTCAAAATTTTTGCTCTTTTTCGCGTTCTAACTTTTGACCCCTCTCTAGCGCCATTTTTAATGCAAAAATCAAGAAAGAAAAACCGATGTGCACAACTTCAATGCTTCTTCTTTTCAATTTCAAATGGTATTGTGCTCCAATTATTACAGTTTCCGAGCCTTTGTCTGGAAACCAGAGGCATAAAAATTTCAATCAAAGGGGAATAACTCGTGAACAGAAGGTAATTTCCGAATTGTATTACAGTATTCTGAAAGTGTTTTGTAAAGTCTAAAAGCTCTGAAAATTTGAACAAAATCCGTTCAGAAATGAGGAAGATATGAAGCTTCAAAGTTGGCGTCTAGGAAAAAAAAAAAAGAATAATAAGAATAATCTTAATCATTACAATCAGTAGAAGGTCTTCCATTGGAAACGGAAGACCTTAATAATCTTAACCATCAGAATCAGTAGAAGGTCTTCCGTTGGAAACGGAAGACCTTAAATATCCTGAAAGCTTAAAGGGAATTAATTGATTCGTCTCAAAGTTCCGTTCTCTTTACTAAGCATTATTGAAGAGCTACCAAGAAAAAAAAAATCCGTAATCTTTCTCATCGATATTTTAGAAGTGGTTTTTGTATTGGATTTATCTTGAAAGATCTGAAGTAGCGCTAGATGAGATCGTTACAAATATCTGCAGGATTTGCTTTTTTTTTATCCCCGACAACCATGGATCTTCAATCTTTTTCAAACAACATAAAATGGCAATAGCCAGTTGAATACTTAAAAAATTTAGAAACAATTATATCTTCGTGAAAGCAAAATCTGAAGTTTTATCAATGGCAAGGAAGGAAAGTACTTATTTAAAATATATATAATATGTACTTAAATCCGAACATTACTTGAGGGAAAAGTCTTTAAATCATTTTCAAATAACACTAATTTATTGTGAAGTCTTGTAATAATTGTTTGAAATAAGATCGTACACATTTAAGATACATGTACATATTTTCTATAACTTGAAGTTTTAAGATTATGAAGTCTGATGATCATTTCATTTATAATTATGTTTTTAATTTGGAATAAATGTTGAAAAATTCAGGAGTATCGGACCATATCATTGTGGAATTGAATGTTGATAAATTCGAGACATATTCGACCATATTGTTGAAAACAAATTGTTGGCATACTAGATATCACTTCATATTTCAAAGTCAAAATATATTAAGTTTTGTCATTTGTCATTCAAATTCAATAGAATGTAAAAAAAAATCTTAATCAATATCACAGGAATTGTCCTTCCCATTATTTGAAATCGAAATCGAAATATCGTACAATGATCACTAATATCATAGTTTTCATGAAAAATATCTGGAAACAGCAGAGGTGGAATCAGGTGCCTAAGAGAAGTAAGCATCCCATGTCAACTGGTCAATCTCGCATGTTTTAATCTATTAATCGGGTAAATAGAGTAATATTTAACATAAAAACAATGGCCAAAGAACTGATATGAAAAATGTCCGTCAAAATTTGATATGACGATAGTATGCATTGGCAAACCAGGTCATTATAAGGACAATAGAATTTGCGAAATGCTGACTTTAAATAGGACTGTTGAAAGCCTTTTAACATAAAGTTATCTGTCAGTATCCTGCCTCGGTTTAAATATTTATTGTTCTCAGGATATGCTCTGAACGCTTAAAGACAGTGAAGCATCCAGATATGAAACAGATGTGACAGACTGTGGATTTTTAATTTCAAGTTACTGAGATAAATCGAGTCAACATATGATTCAAAATGACTATTGTTAATTAATAAAACGTTATCGATATACAGTGGCGCCTCGTTAATCCGGACACCTCCGTCCCCAACGAAATCGTCCGGATAAATGAATCGTCCGGATAAGTGAATCACTTCTTAAAAGACGTACCATCTCAAAGCATGTACATATGAACATAGTGGTGTCAAATGTGAAGGCAAAGAAAACACCTTTATTTTACCTTGACATATTGATTTTATTCTTATAGTTTTAAAAGAAATAATTAATATTTAAAAAAAAAAAAAACTCTAAGTTATATACCTTGAAAAAACGTGATCGGTATTTATAACTAATGCCAGTTACGTATTTCTTAGTGCATTAAATAGAAATATATTTTCTTGAATTTTGTATCATAGTGAATTGTCTTATGAAAAGAAAAAAAAAACCGTTTCAAATAATGTACGTTTTGAGAATTGGAAAATCGTATTTTGATAAACTTACGCAACTCATTACCACAACGAAATCTCGTGATTTATTATTCAGTAAAAAAAATTATTTACAACTCTCCAAAATTCTCATAAATTTATATACCGTTATCAATTTATTCTATTCTGAACGGATTTATATTTAATTAATGCACAGTATAAGATAAATTCTTCGGGCTTTATAATATAAAAGACGTGTGTTTTATCTGAGGTAAACACCCGCTAATTATAGACGCTATTGTTTAGAGGTCACAGGTAACCGCCTTCAAACTGACTCCACGGACAATGTTTTTACAATAATTATCACTACTGCAAGAAAGGTGTGAAAAGTCGTTCCTCGAAAAATTACCGTCCGGATAAACGAGTCATTTTTCAATGAAATATTACGTTTTGTAGTAGAAATTGACCGTCCGGATCCGGAACGCGAATTTCCGGATTAATGAGACAGAATAACGTGGAAAAAATCGGTTCCCAGAAAATATCGTCCGGAAGGTGAAGCGTCCGGATTATTGGCGTCCGGATTACCGCCGCGCCACTGTACATATATCTAAATGTCAAATTGAGGGCCACAGCAAGTGTTTTCTTCCTTTGTAGTAGTTTAAAAAAAAACTGTTTCATAGGAATGAAAAAAAAATCAGCTAATAAAGGAGGAAAATATGTGCCCATTACAGACTGACTAAAGACCTTGTCTCCAAATTAAGACGATATAGATATCGTCAACACTTCTGTTACATGTAGACCAGAAACTGTCTTTACAAGTTTTCCCCCATTTGATTCATTTATCAGAAAGACCTTTATGTTGAACCAGAATGTTATTAAATGATTTTTTCTTTGAAATTGTTAAATTCAAAGAACGTTTCTTTCAAAGATTTAACCCTCTCCTTTTCATTGTGTGTCAATATATTTCTTAGAGGTTTGCTATCAGGTTGTAATCTTTGAAGATAGAGTCAATAAAAGGCATTGAATACAGAAACTTCAAAAATTATTGATTTAGAGATTATGACTTGATAAAATATTGCATTATAGACAAGTGTAATTGCTATTTATTTATTTTTTTACAGACTAGGTTTGTTGCGGCCATGGCTTGAATCGACAACCTCCCGATCACGGAGCAAGCATTCTACGAACTGCACTACAGTGACAGTTATTTTTATGTAAAAGTTTTTGAATAAATTAATATGCTTCATAAGAAAAAAGAAAGGTCAGCTAATAGTGGACCAGAAATGAATCAATCCATCTTCAAAATAAATATTCAAAAAATATTAACAGGATTCATACATATCACTCTGAATAGTCTTAATTATTTAATATGTGCGGTATATAGACAATAATTTACCTGAGTGAAAGGCATTTTATGAAATAATATTTTTTTTTGTATTATTCTTTAATTACCATGAATAATCACCAAACCAGGGAGGAGATCAGATTGTTTCAGTGACAACTGAGATACAGGTGAACCCGGGAGGAAATTGACACAGCACGTGTCTGCAGGTAACTGAAATAAGTACACAAACATTTCTCCTTTACTTCCATACCTCACAAAATGCAAGGCCAAGTGACAGGTAGGTGCATATGTATTTATTTATTTTTATTTTCAGTTTCTCTCTGGTTAAGCTTAATAATTGTTTTGAAAGATGCCATGGTGATATTTAAAAATTAATTATCACTAAATGCTATAAAGATGTAATCAATATGTTAAGTTTCACTTTAAAATAATTGACAAATCAGATTCTTGTTAACATGTCATTCAACTTTTCAAAATTCTACTGCAGCATTTTTCTTTGCTTACACGAAAAAACTTTCTCACTCTGAGTTTGTATGTGAACATAATGTACACATTACCCTAACCTTTTATTTAAACGCATACTACTTTAACCACATATAAGGCTTAAGTAATGAGGTCCTATCTGGATATTTTTCCCTCTGGGTTCACTCTTCTCAGCTGACCACGCAATCTCTCTGATCCTGGACCAGCGATGACCACTGTTTTCCCGAGAGACATTTTTCCTGACTTAGTTGTTGATTTTTTTGTGGGACAAAACAAATATTTATATATCCCCGAGGGTGTACTTTGTCAGTAAAATGAATTATTGTCAACTTCTTATGTGGGGCACCAATATTTTTCAAAATACATATTTTGATCAGGTTCGGTGTAAAATTGTCATTTTCTAAATGGTTCTCTGTTCGAAGATTTATTCGGGCCTTTAAGAAGACATGTGAGACACTAAAAACGTAGGTTCTCGATGTTAAAATTTCCCGAATTGCTCCAAAAGTTGGTGTCTCCAATTATCAGAAACCCAATATAATTTATTTAGATATTTTTTTTTCATTATAATGAATTCAGTTGAAAATACTCCGACAGTTTTCATTTTTACATACAATTTCTTTCAAAGAGTTGAATAAAATGATTAATAATCTCCATGGATGGGAGATAAATTTGTTAAACCTTTAACCTTTATTTATTATTTATTAATGATAAATTTATTCGAATTATATAAGAAATGTTTCTCTAGGGTTTTTCATAGCTTTTATGGTTGGTTTTAGTCGGTTTTGATGAAAATAAATAGTGAGACAATTTTAAAAAAAACGTTGAATTTTAAGAACACTGACATTTAATTACAATTTACAAAATCAACATTTCCCTTTATATGAATGATACATGTATAGACTTTGACTTTAAAATGTATAAAAGTTTCACATTTAATCTGATTTAACACATCGTACGTACAAATAATAATAAAAAAAAAACAATATAACAGGATGTTGACATTGCTATGTTATATTCCCGGATGACTATTCTACATGTTGAAACATAACACGAACTGTTTGAAGTTCACTTTTATAGCCATTTTGATAATGAACATAATTAATTAAGGTTGTTTTCTGAACATGTTTCTGTGGTCTCTAATTAACAACATACGTTTCCATGACATTAGGTTAATGAACAATTATCCGAATAAGCGTAAAGTTGTCAGAAGACGGACAGGTACAAATAGGCACCTATTCTGAATCCTTCACTATATAGCATTCTACTAAAATGAAACGTAGAACTATGTTGACAAAACATATAAAATGAATCAAATTGTCTAAATTTACGCAGTGCTACAGTTTTTGTTGGTGTTATTTTATTGTTACAGGTTAATTTGCATTCATCTAAAACTTTTAAAATTTCATTATCAAAATGAAAATTTTCATTTAAGAGATAAAATTACAGCTTAATGTTAAAAAAAAGGAACAGATAAAGTAAAACTGAAACTAATAATGACTAAACTAATTCCTCAAAGCTGTAAAGATATAATTCAAAATATTAAATCAATCTGAGTAAAACTTAAAACTATGAATTGAAATATAATTACATTTCTGGGCTTTGTTTAAGGTCTCTATGTGCTGTTGTATGTTATTGGCGGATCCTTACTTTCTGTTAGATCCGCATTGTTACCTGGGTCTACACCTTCCTCTCCAAACCCGACTCTAAGGAAATGTATGACCAGGGCTGGATACTACAACATTACAGACACACCTATAAGTTTTAACAATCCTTTCGCTAAGGCTTTACACAAATGGTGCAGGTAAGTCGACGTTTTGAAACTCGGCGTTATCTTTAGCTCTGCCATTGATAATGCCATAAAGTTCTGAAATATTGGTATACGAAATATATGAAGAGCGGTGGGGATATATGTTTTGATTGTTTATATATTCATCTTTCATTACAAAGACATGATATTAGACAATTAAAATACCATATATTAGGTCTATATATATATATATATATATATATATATATATATATATATATATATATATATATATATATATATATATATATATATATATATATATTTAAATTAGACAAACTTATTTTTAAATGCTGAAAATAAATCTATTAAAAAGTAAGTAATATTGAGGGTGGGTAAATTTGAATGTATAGAGCAGAATCTCATCACATAATTTTTTTTATCAGAATTTTTGTTCTGAAAGATTGAGGTATTTAACTAATAAGAAGGAAAACTTTCCCCTTCTGTGTTAACGAACTATTTTGTTTTATGAACACATACATAAACAAAGATAGATTACCCTGCTTTTAAGTCTTTTACGCTTCATATATGTTATTTACATTTTCAAAATGTTTTTCTAATATTGTAGTGTCTATAAAGACGTGGTGCTATGTGCTGAAAAATCGACCAAGACGAACGTCCTAGCAAGTCCCGCTGATTGGTTCTTCTCAATGATTTTTAATTCCTCGATAGCCAATGAAACATCAAATATCATGTGCCAGAAACTCAACAGTAAGTCATTCTTTAAGACAGACTTGCAACTTATATAGAGTCAATGCAAACAAATAGAAAAAGAATTTTCTAAATATTTATATACATTTTGACATTGGAAAACCAGCTGTAAGGTAGATATGTTCTCACAAAGACTTTCAGAGGCGTTGGGACCTGAGTCCCTCCCTTCAAAAACAAAAACTCTGGAGGGGTTTTGCCTCCATTCTGTGAGTTTATTGATTCATTTTGTCATATTGATTAGCAAACAGAAAATCGCATCATGGACAATCCTTGTTTAAAAGACAGTTTTTGGGATGTGGAATTTCTTAAAGAGTCACTAAATGGCTTAGATCTACAGAGGCACGGTTTTTCGAGTATTCTTTTTTCCCTAAAACGTACTCCACATCACGTTTTTTTAAAGTCTTCTTAAAAAATTATATGCAAGAACCTGGTATTTTTATTTTATAGCTTAAACTGCTCGATTTTGAAGTTTGTGGCATTGTTGTGACATAATATTTTTAGTCATATGAACCTGTGCATCTGGTATTTGCAGATTAATCTGTCAAAATTTAAAAATATAATGCCCAGAATCTACTAATATTTCCTTCTGCATGATCTTTATTAAAGGTCTTCATTCCTCTGATAGAAGACCTTTTAGTGATTTTATTGTTTCCTCATATCATTACACTCCATGCAAACAAAGCATGAGAAGGTACTCTTCTTAATAGAATCACCTTGTCCATCAGTCCGTTTTGTCATAATGCTATAGACATATTGCATTGAAAATCCTGAAAAAAAATATGGAGACAGTTCTATAACATTTTGTATTTTTTGTATAACATTCCACACCTGTATATGATTGATTGATTGTTTGATTGTATGTTGTTTTGCGTCCCATTCGAGAATTTTTTACTCATAGAGAGACGTCACCATATACCGGTGAAGGGCTCAAAATTTTGACCTTTACTCGGCACTCAGGGCCATTGAGCTGTGAGGGATCTTTATCGTGCCAACGCCTGTCGTGACACGGGACCTCGGTTTTTAAGGTCTCATCCGAAGGAACCGCAACTTTCACTTCAAAGTGCCGAGCGCATGGCGAAGGAACAGTTGCTACCCATTTTTTTTTATCGACTTAGGTTAGTCGCGGCCGAGATTTGAACTCACGACCTCCCGATCACGAATCGAGCGCTCTACCGACTGAGCTACCGTGAACGGTCACCTGTATATGTTCGGTAATTTCAGATTATTAGGCACAAATATATATTCAACCATACATTAGACAAAATTGCTAAAGCACCATCATAGAAATTTAATTTTTATTTTTTCAAACTTGTTTAATGCATGTATGTATCTGATATATAAATATGTAACCATGTTTAAGGAGGCTGGGGGGTCAACAAATTAACCACAAATTAACCACCAGATTTAAATTAATTTTTTAGATATGATATCTTAAGCTGTCAACTATCATTTGGCAAAGAAAAATTTCAAAAATTTTAGTTTTAAAATTTGATCATTTTCTATATCTTCATATGGAGCTCTTCTTCTAAAGGAGATCAATATAGTCTAAAAATGGCCACAACCCCCCCAGCCTCTTTAAAAGTTAGATGTTTAAATGCCCGAACTAATGATAACCGAAGGGTAACAATTTCATAGAAATGCAAGAAAGTCGTACTCATACTTTATAGAGAAATATTGATGTTTCTATTGGTTGAAAGTACTTTGACTAGATTAGGAAAGTAAAATGTCCTCTATAGGTAAATGTGATATTTAATAGACATCACTATTGTAAGACTGTACCATAAAAGTGTGGTAACCGGAACTGTGACGGACCGGGTATGGATGCCAAAGCACTAGTGACTTCTAGCTGACATGTTAGACATTTTGCTTGATATACTTTGAGAGACAGGGTCATGATCGCTGTTGCAACCTTTCTGACAACCAACGGTAGCCACCAACCTGCGCAAAAAGGTGTACAATTGACTTCGGATAAATGGTTTTTGCCCAAGAGGACCATTTGAGGGTGTAGTATTGAAATAAAGGCATCGACAAATTTGACTACAGTAGGCAAGATTTACTCTGTCGATGAGGCAGATGTCGTATTTGCAGATAAAAGGCTGTGTGGTATGTTAGCAATTTTGTTTAGTGTAATTGAAGTTGAATTCAGAACCTTGCATTTCCAGCAGATAATCCCCCACTGTTGCATCCAAACTTTTCAATTAATAATAAACTCTACCGTGCTTAGATATTAACCATCTAAAATATGCTAAGTATTCTTGTTCTTCCTCTTCTTTCAACTTTAATTCTGCTGGACACATCATTACTGGTGATGTATATAAGAATAGTTGTAAATAGCAACCTAAAGGCATTTAAAAATTTAAAAAGGTCCATATTCAGGGAGCCCTGGTCTATCAAATGGGGATAGAACTTCATTTCTTTAAAGAATTCCGACAAGGAGAATCCAGGACGATTTACAAAATATGAAGGGGATGGCACCGACTCATTGTCAAAATGGATAAAGAGTTATAGATGTATTCAAAAGAATTGTATTAGACAATGGAAAGACACAATGCGCATCATCTATCCTTCTGTTTTCAGTATACAATAATGGATTCCAGAACTTCATAAAAATCCCAACAAAACAAAGATACATAACAGGGTTTAATAAAAATTCAATTCGCTTAATCCCCAAATTTAGCTTTTCTATTGCCCATTCCCCATCACCAGAAAGATGTTCTTTCTATAGTCTCAGTTCCATTTTGAGCCCCGTCAATTGTAGTAAGTGGAGGTAACATAGACTCCACTTGAATCGGCAGACGAAAACCGTAATCAATCAATCAATGACGTTTTGGGTGACTGTCACGGTACATTTTGTCATCCTATACAAACTGTAGTCGGTGACAATATGCACCTAACCTCACTGCACATATTATCGTCCATCGGTACATATTCATTATTGTCGCCGGCTGAGAATTTATGCATGTACAAATTGTCGCCGACGACAATATGTGCCTATCCTCAATGAACGTAATGTCATCCAACATTAAGGATTGCCTAAAGATATTTCTTTGAATTTTTGTCAACATAAACATACTTCGTGGAATGCGATAGTGTGAGTTTCTCTGTGTATATTGATATGCCTAACTTTACACAAAAATTGTATTCGAATCTAAAAGAAAATTATATTTCTGTTGTCATGAGATTGCGCGTTCACTAACAGAAAATTAATGTTGTAACACACAATTGCTATTTTTAAACATTAAAAAGCCGTTGCAATAAAATGTTATACTTAAAATACAGAGAAGAAAAGAACAATTAAAATTATTAATATAAATTCATAAAAATATCAAGAAAATAATCTTTCTGTCTCTTTCTTCATCTTCTCCCTCTCTCTGACCCCATGCAGTAAAGCAATACTTTTGGCGACAAAATATTCAAAAGTTTACCGCATACATCGTGTCAACTACAATATGTACACCATAATGTAAAGTACATTTTTTAGGAAGAAAAGGGTTGTCGTCGGCGACATTATGTACCTACCCTCACTGCACATATTGTCGTCCATCGCTCCATATTGTCGCCGGCGACAATATATACCGAGATGAGCCTTATTTTCCTCCTGCATAATGGACGACAAAATGTACAGTCAAGCACCAGCACATATTGTCGTCGGCGACAATATGTACAGTCAAGGTCGGCATATATTGTCGTCGATTTATTGTTTTGACTTATACACACACACACACACACACACACACACACACACACATGGAGGGAGACAGACAGCATTACCTGCAATGCTGTAGGGAGAAAACGTTTTGGTCAGAAAATTGTGTCCAGGATTAATGTATATCACTTTTAAATGTCAAGATACCCTAATTTTTTAGATAGCTGATAAATCAGCCTATTCTTTTTTCTTGTAATATATACTTTGAGATTGAATACATATATTAGTTTGTTTGTTTGTTTTTTTGTTCGGTAGTAATGATTATTTGGAAATTATTTCTTTGCGTCATTCTTACATACAATCATGTGCCGATATAATTGGTATTGGGATCAAATTTTAGATCACCAAAACTGGAAGATCAAGTGAGCTTTTCTGATCACATTTTGTCTGACCTACCCTCTGTCTGTAAACTTTTCACAATTTCAGCTTCTTCTCGAGAACTACAGGGTCAATTTCTAGCAAACTTGCAAGAAAGCATCCTCGGATAAAGAGGATTCAAGTTTGGACCATGCCCTTCAAGGGAAGTAGTTAAACCATGATTAAAATTTATTGACATCTTTTAAAAATCTTCTCAAGAACCACTGTATCAGAAAAGTTCAAACTTACGTGGAAGCTTCATTATGAAGTGAAGATCTAGTTCTATTCAGATCACGGCCCCCGGGGGAAGAGTGTGGCTACAATAAGTGATCAAAATTTTTCATAGAATATTTAGAAAAAAGTCTTTCAATTTTTTTTTTCAAGTCCCGGTTCAAACGAGATGATACTTATGTGAAAACTTTAATCATTAATTGTATATGACCATTGTTGAAGTTTTTGGTTTCTCTGGCTATATTTATATGGAGCATTGCCGTGCATTGTCACGCGACATGTTCTGATGGACGACAATATGCGATGTGAGGGTAGGTACACATTGTCGCCGACGACAAAATGAACAGGACGACAAAATGTACCGTCACGTCACGCTGCATGAAATAGCATACGCGACACGTCAGTATGATTCACACACCAATTACATTCACAAAACTACCAAAAAACAACAAAAAAATCTTTTAGCAACAATATCTGTGGGGCGACAATATGTGCAGTGAAGGTAAGGCACATAATGTCGCCAGCGACAATATGTACATGTGTTACTTTTCAGACGGCGACAATATGTACCGATCGACGACAATATGTGCCGGGAGGGTGTGTACATATTGTCGCCGACGACAATATGTACAAAACGACAATATGTACCGTCACAAGGGTTCATCTTGACACATATTGTCGCCGGCGATATTATTTTCAGGACGACAAAATGTACCGTCACATGGATTCTTCATCCATGGTTAATTCATTTTAAATGCACTCGTGTCAAGGAATGGACTCAAAAACCTTGACCTTGTGAGGATGGTTAACTTTGTATCGATATAGTAAAGCAGCAAAAGTATATCATTTCGTGAGTTTGGAGGATCTGTGTACTAACATAGGCTCCAACATAATACGAAACACGTCTTGTTTATCTTCACTGTAGGGACTGTAAAACTTCATGCTCAGCATCCATAATGGTTTTGATCATATTATACGTCATGACTCTGAACTTACCGAATTTAGCAAACGTCAAACATTAATATTCTTCTTATTAGCAGTAACTTGAAATTGAAAACACTACGAAAAGAAAAAAATGCTATTGATGATATTACTGTGTCATGGAGCAAGGTCCCCCTAAAATCAGATGTCTAGTTTAACTCCATGTATGTGCTGCAGGTAAATTTAATTTTTCCCACCTTTTCAATTAGAATTTGGAAAGAAATTGTCTTGCATGAGGCGAGTTCAAGAAACTCGGGCGTTAAGATGTGTGGATGCCTTGACAAGACCTATAAAAAAAGCAATGATGAAGATCTACAATGGTAACATCACCTCTATGGCGTCTCTTGCACAAAAAGGTTCCTGTCTGTAAGTCTGAAGATAACTTATCAATCTTCGTCAATTGAATGAAAACTAATGTTCAAATATTTGCCTTTTGAATGAATCAGATACTCAATAATTTCAAAATTTCCCTGTACACTTTTCTGCTTGGAAAATAGCTGAAAGATATCTGTTTTACCATTCATTCAACAATTCTTTGATTTACTCAGCATATCTGTGGCAACAGCAACATGCTTTAGAGAGAAAGTCAATTCCTGTAGAAGCTACCTCAGGGATTATATTGGAGCCTATAATCTAATACTCGGAGGTAAATGTCTCGCCATTCTCCGATCTCAGGACAGAAACCAACGGAAAACTAACGGAACAGTGATCAAACAGTCGCCGGAACAGGAGTGGATGTCCACCATCCAGTCACTGCTAAACGAGAACGACCGAATCAGTCTATACCCAGACATCAATAGAGACAACAAACACGCAACGGCTGAAATTAAATCAAATCCAGAAATAACGTCAAAGAAACCTGTGGAACAAACCATGACTTCTGTTTCATCTAAACTGTATATTCCTCCAACTAGTCTCCAATCTACCCGGAGTCCCTCGGCTATGTTGGAGAAAAATGAATCTTTGTGGACATCCTTAAATGTTTCAGAAAAGGATACTTCAGTTCGAAATTCGTCTGAACAGACTCCTAAAAATGTACAGCAGAACTTTGAATCAGAGGATGACAGGGATACTTATACAGAGATTGATGCTACAACAGGCAAGACCATTACTGACGATGATGAGCTGATATCAGACGACAGGTCGGGCGGAGGCAGTGTCGTTTTTCTAAGCTACAATACTCTATATCTTGTTATAATGGCATGTAGATTGTGTCGTTTTCTGATAGTAATATTTTAGCAATGTTTGACTTATACTGTGTGTTGTTTTCTACTTGTTTTTCCTTATTTTAAAATTTCTTCCTTAAAGATTCAAAATTCCGTACGATGTTATAAGTTTCAAGTTAATCATAGAATGGTTATTAATTAAAGCTTACCATGTATCTTTTACTTGTAACCTTTAATTGTGAAACGAATATTTAATTGCTTTGGGGAAATTTCCGACAAATATTACTCTCAAAACGGGAAAGAAGGACAAGACAATCGAATCGGAAAATTTAAACCATTTAGTCATGAACTTGAACAGTTTAATTACGAAATGATTGTGAAATTTAAAGAAAAACTGATTGCTTTGATAAATGTGTAAATTATATTATGATTATATTATATTCTGATATGTATAATTTATGCAGGTCATATATATATATATATATATATATATATATATATATATATATATATATATATATATATATATATATATATATATATATATATATATTAGGAATGCAATCGAATACAGAATTGCTAATCGGTTAACCGCAAGACGTTCCGACCGATTAACCGTATCAACATATGCATTTAATTTTTCTTGATACACTTTTCTCCCCTAAGTATCTCTATTCATATAACGTTACACAAGAAGACTAATAAAGACTTTAGAAGTTGAATCTCTATTTGTCTTCTTTCTTGATACAAAACTACATGCATATATATTTTATTTCAGTTTTCACAGATAACAAAAGATTAAGAAAACCACGAATCATGTCTGAGAAATCAGATATATCCAGAGCCGATGTCACATAGGTTCATTCTGCATTGTCAAAATAATCAAAACTAAGTCTGAACTACATCACTGAATATACAATATTTCTTTCGTTATTTATTCGATGGACAAGTGCAAAAGAAAAACATACTAATTCGCAGTGTTCAACGGTAATGTAATATCATTAAAGAATTACATGACGGTCGGGGTAACGACGTGGCCGGTGCTTTAACAGTAAGTAACACCTCAAACACAATATGACCAATTACCCCACAATCTTAATTCGGAGAATTACATCCAGGCCAGCTTGGATATGTGAGAACGCTGAACTATCAATGTTAATGCAGAGATTACTTTTTTCCGAAAAAGAAAATTGCGTTTAAATTTACATGTATTTTATTTTTTTCCCGACTAACCGATTACAGATTTTCTAACCGATTGCCATTGTTCCGACTGAGTAATCGGTTAACCGGTTACAAATTGCCATCCCTAATATATATATATATATATATATATATATATATATATATATATATATATATATATATATATATATATATATATATATCGGGCATAAATTGAAAATTATAATGACTTAATGATATACTAGTACGTCTAGGAAACGAAATGTTTTTTTTTTTTCTGCGTACCGAATTTTAAAATAGAAAATATCTAACCTAAGGCTCTCGTATTTTTCTTTAATCGTTTTTACATGTTGCCAACATACTATTTGTAAATCCTTCCTAAATCTACGTATGATTTATGTGTTTTAATTAATTTAATATTTTTTGACATTATTTCTGATGCACTGTGCAAGTAGCTGGAATGTCAGGCTTTTTTCATGAAGAAATTAATTAACTCGTGTTAATTAACAGTTGTATTTAAATAGAACTTCTATTATTTTTTTTACTTTGTTTTTATGTAGTTTTTTTTCGTAAAGCTAAAATGAAGTTCTTAAGAAATTTGGAAGCATGTTGTAATTCACAGAAATGGCAAAGCCCTTTGCCTGTTTCCTACCTGTTATATGCATGGCCCATACTTTTATACAAGTATGCCGAAAACGTCCTTTTATAGTTTTTACATATTATCGTACTTGCATGCTACACCTGTAGGTTAACGAGCTATAATTAACACACACTACTTGTTTATGAAATGCTGATAGGTATATGGTCTATTTTTTATAAACTCAAAATTTCAATTTTATAAATTACTCCATCATCATCAATGACATTTTACAAATGGTGTGGTTTTAGTTTTGCAAATAATTAAAAATGAATAAATTTCAATGAATTTTTTAGCTTATGGTTGTTAATTACTCTTATAATGCAACAAAACCCTGGCGGTTTTATGCGTTTCTCGATAAAAGTCACTTTGCTGTTATTTTAAAGCATATATTTTTACAACCAAATTACAAGAGTAAGATTGTTTGTTAAAAAGGGATTTGACAAATGTTCTCATTTCATCATATAGTACAAGGTACTTTTATGATAAAATCAAAACAGAGAGAAACATTAGGTCATTAGGTCTATAAAATAAGATTCAGGTTTCTTAAAGTAAAATGTGAAGAAAAAAAAACGAACAGTAGCCCAGTTAAAAAAAAAGTCCAATTCAGCATTAAAAATTGACAGCTGAACAAACACGGATCCATGAAAAATCCAACGTAGGATCAGTTGCATGGAGAAATTAGCATCCCGGGTTGATCGGCTGCATGAGACATTTTGTTTTGATCACGTGAACCGAGAAATCCAGAGACAAATCAGTATGAAAACAAGGGCCTAAAATATGTATTTAAAAACTCCACAGGCGGTATTTGCAAACAATGTCATTGTAACTACCATACAATTTTCAAAATGTTGACTTTATAGAGACATAATTTGTCGAAATGCGCATCTGGTGCATCAAAATTGATTTACATTTATACGAAATTATTGATACCTTGTAATATCAACTCATTTTGTCATCGACCTGCCTTGGTTAAGAAATTAACCTCAGCTTATCATACTACAGATTATGAATATACATGTACATATACCTATGACTTAAGTACACACACATATATATAAGGTTTTAAAAAGAATTAAAAGTAAATGCAAAAAAGAAACATGATTTTAAGAGTTAGAACGATACTAGTATATTGCTACTATTTATGTTTTTGTTTTTTTTGTTTTTGTTTTTTTTTTTTTGTTTTGTTTCGTTTTGTTTTTTGTTTTGTTTTTTTGTTTTGTTTGCAATGTTAACATAATATGTGCTTTGCTTGTCAGATTTTATCCTTGAAAATGATTAAATGGGGTCAAAAAGACAATGTCCTAGTCTCCATAGCAGTGACAGACGCCATCAACACAGTGAGGGCGACCGTGGAAACAGTGAAAACTGCAGTCATCTAGTCCGGTACACACTGTAAAATAAAATGTGACTTCTTAAAACTGTTTAATACAAACACTTGAGTCTACCAAAATTTTGTACAATAAACCTCACATACACATCGTGCCATCATAATACTATGAACACGGTGAAAACTGCGATCATCTTGTTAAGGATACGTTTTAAAATGAAATGTAACAATATGATACGGTAAATAAGTTAAACACGGTTAAAGGTGCAAAAATCTTCTTGCATAGTACACATTGTTAACTATCCTTATACTGTAAATACAATCAGTTAAGACTGCTATAATTATCATCTCACTTCATACTGTTTAAAATATAAGATATGTTTATCGCTCTATAACTGATTGGTCGCCCGCGTGGCGCAGTGGTTAGAGCGTCTGCTCTAGAGTAGCGGAGTAAGGAGCTAATCCTTACGTCGCGGGTTCGAATCCACTGCGGGACGTGGAGACTGTTCCTTCGGATGAGACCGTTTAAACCGAGGCAGTAGGTGTTAACACGAAAAAGATCCCTCACTGCTCAATGGCCTTGAGTGCCGAGTATAGGTATAAATTTGCAGCCCTCTACCGGCAAATGGTGGCGTCTCCATTTGAGTGAAATATTCCCGAGATGGACGTTAAACAACAAACAAACAATTAAACTGGTTGTTTCTTCTTCTTTGTTTTGTTTTATATCCCTTCGAGAGGACGCCACTTATTGCCAGTGGAAGGGTGCAAATTTAGCCCCGTATTCGGCATAAATGACCATTGAGCAGTGAGGATTTTATTTTTTGCCAACGCCTACTGAAACACGGGACATCGCTGTTTATACGTCTCATCTGGAGGAAGGACCGGTCTATTCGTCTGCAATGGTATTCGAACCCCCCATGTAATGATCAATTCCTTACTCCACGACTCTAGAGCGAAATGCTATAGTGCTCAAGTGCACAATATGAAATATGAAGGTAATGAACAGTAGTCAAGCTCAAAAGTCCATTGGAACGACACATATTGGGAGCAGAGCAAAAAAGAACCTCTAAAAACATCAGAGGTGTGATCAAGTGCCAAGGAGGAGTAAGCATCCCTTGTCGACTGTTACGCCCGCCGTGTGTTCCTTGTCATGATCGGGCAAAAGGAAAAATCCGTGGACAATTCAGTGTGAAAATAATGGCATAATGAATGTATTTAACAAAATAATGACCAAAGACAAGATATGTATATTTACGAGTTCCATTTTTATTTTCGGTGCAGGAACACATACAAAACAATCATGCTTACTTTGACCGTTGGTTTCGGTTATACGAGTATATGGTACATATACAAAATATTTGACCGGTGTTTTCAGTTATGGTACATATACAAAACAATCATGCTTACGTTGATCGTTGTTTTCGGTTGTATATTGTACATATACAAAACAAACATAATTATTTTGACCGGTGTTTTCAGTTATGGTACATATACAAAACAATCATACTTACTTTGACCGGTGTTTTCGGTGCAGGTACAGATTCGATGGATACAGTTGACTGAGCCTGTTGAGCAGTGAACCAGATGACAGTCGTCGTCATGGTGACAGTCCTCACAAAACACTTGTAGAACAGATAAAAACTTCATATTTTAAAGCAAGCTAAAATTCATTCGACATTGCTTTTAGGATTTCAGTTCAAAACATATTTAGGTATAAAAAATCAACAGTAATGCGTTATTGTGTTGTGTAAAATCTGTTTTGTTTCATGCATATTGGTGCATACATAATCTACCTCTAACTATATACAGCATTATCTATTCGAGCTTTTATATTTGTGAGAGTATTTGCCTTATTTTCTAGAACTCCAAAAGTATAATTAAACATTTCAACATACACTACACATAGAATCGGCTGAAACATATTTTTTGATATTCACCTTTAGTTTTCAGTATGAAACTCTCAATATAATTCTGAGTGTTCAGCAATTACCGTCTTTTCTATTTTCACTGTATCAAGTTTTTAAAAAATAAAGAGTTTATGCCTCACACAGTTCTATATGAAAAGTATCAGAATATTTAAAGCTCATTTGGGTCGAAAAGAGCCAGACATTTTTTTGGGTAGAGCTGTATGAGGCATACATCTTTCTTAAAACATATGTTAATTGTTCACAAATTATGTGGAGGATAACAGAAAGCAAACAATAAAAAAAACAAAAACGCTGCAGTCCACATCATTAGACTGTTTTATTATTTGACTCCTACAGGTAGAATGTTTGGACAAAAACAAAATGACACAACAGCAATGTTAGAACTGGTAAGATTTAACTTTTGATTAAAATGTTAATAGTAATTAAAATTAAAATCTATTTTTGTTTGATTTTTTTCTCTCTTTAAATTGAAGATAGTAATTTTTTTCTATTTAATGAGAAAAATATCGACTCAAATCTGGACAAAATGATTTATTTACTAAATAAATAAATCTTCAAAAATTGCTTAACATTAATTATGATGACTTTTTAAACTTCATGAAAAAAAATATTTTCATTAATTTTTACCTGTGACGAAGAAAATAGCCAATATCAAAATTAATTTCATCGTAAGCACTGCTATCCAGTAAATTAACGTTTGTATTTGTCCTTATCAGACTTTACTTTCGAGATACATTTAGTATAGATTCTTATCGTGTACACATTGACCTATAAAGCAACTCTGGACACTTATCGTGATAGGAAAATAAGTACATGTATTGTCATTACAATAGATCATAAGTTAGATTAGAACTCATCAATTAATATACTATGCATGTAATACTTTATTATACCAGAGGAAATGATATAAATTGCAATCATTTACATCATCCAACAAAAATTGTATTTTTCTAGATCTGTCCTCAAATACTTAGAATCATAAAAAAAGAACCATTAAAAAAAGAACTTCAATTACAAATGGATATTTTTATTTCGTGCACCATACACACTAAAGGATTTCTTGATATTGCACAAAAACACAAAAGAGAATTAAAGTCGCATTACTGAGGCACCACAAACCCCATGGGTAATTGGTTGTTAGGGAGGGGATTCAACCCGCCCCCAATGCCATTGTCAAATCCATTACAGATATCAATATAACATCCAGGACAAAGTCTCCCGTTATATTCAAAGAATTCTCTTCGGCGGCACTCTGGGGGAATGAGCTGTAAAGTACAAGGTCTGGCAGGGCACCTGCCGCCCCGTGAGTAGGACCGTCTCCCAGCTGCATAATTTCTCCTTCCTGATCGGTAATTCTGACCTATCAACAATTAAAAAGGTGCATTTGGGAATATACTCTCTGAAAACCCATAGTATATGATATACATGTATTTTAACATCAGAATTGATGGGAAACCTGTTTTGTTCTCTGCATGTCAGTAAATATGTTTATTATATGATTTATGATCAATTGCTTTGAGTTATTTAAAGTACGTATCAAACATGAACAATAAATACAATTATATTGCAATTGATAAGGCCAATGTTTCTTTGTCCTTTCTCAACCCAGGGTAAAAAAAACTGGATCGGTAGGTAGGTGGGAAAAAATTTTTCCCTAGAAATTTTCAACATTAATACTGAATTTTTAAAATACATTAAAATAAAATGGAAATACTTGTTGACGGGATGAGAAAATTCCGAAAAGAAAGAAAAATTGTTTCCTAGAGTTTAAAAAAAAGTTTTGAGTCTACCATTTTCAGCCAGTCGGTCAAGAGAGGGCAAACAAACAATATTTTTAAAGATGGCCTTATGGGATTGAAAAAAAAACTTGATCGCTTGGCAAATTACATTTTTGATTCAATTTATGTTCAGATAAAGAAATGTGGAAGGGTCAGAAGCGATCAATTTTCTTAAATAAAATAAATCTGGCTTTGTGTTACGATTTAATGTTTCATTTCTTTTTAGATCCAAATTTATGGCGTAGAAATGATTATAGAATATCTTACCTTCTGAAAAACTCCAGGTAACGGTGATAAATACGAAAATTAATAAAAATAATTTCATTTTTTGTGATAGATTTCACTTCTATCAAAACGTGATCAAAGAACAAAAAGTTCTCTTCGTTAAAGTGTGAGAGTGACACTGGTCAGCCTTGGACATAAATAGAGGCACGTCAAGAAACTGTTTCCTTAAAGTGTTACAGGTCATCAATTACTTACGATGTCGTCCGTCCAATGTTGTTTCAACGGACCATGACGATAAGACCGAATATTGTAATTAGTGGCTTTGAATGTGTGTTTTTTTTTTTTTTTTTTTTTTTTTTTTTTTTTTTTTTTTGCAACATAGTTCTATTTTTAGTCTTTTCCAGAATGTTTTATACCATAAAAAATCCAGGAAAAAAGTTAGCAATAGGTATTAGTGTGTCCCTGTCCTACAACGTCAACAAACAATAAATATGTTATTTTCATTCACCGTTCCTCATAAATCTTGACCGAAAAAAAAATGACCATATGTATTTCACATTACAGAGGTAATTCCCTAAACACAGACTTTGACCTGTCACATTGTGCGTCAAATGACCAGTGTTCATTAACGCAACAGGTCATAAAACACAACCTTAGATGAGAAACGCTTTATGTATGACGTATAACTTTTTTGACCAATGACAATTGACATTTGTTCCTCAATCTTTGATTCCGCTTAAAAAAAAGGGTAACTAAAAAGTGTATATAAAGAGAGGCCTTCATCCAAATTTGTATTGTAAAATCTTTGTGATAAAGGTCCACTATGAAGTGCCTGCTTCCAGCCTGCATTCTTCTTATTGCCGTTATTGTTGTTGAAGGTGAGAGTTTTTCTTTTCTTTCTTTCTTTTTTTTTGAATATACGCTTTACATAGAGAGAAAAATGATGATTTGATTTTAACATGATTTATTATGTAATAAAACATTACATAAATGGATTGGGCAGCAGGCTTTGCAAATATAAGCCTTCTCCATTAAAATCTAACAAAATGAAAGAAATAGGAAAGAAAATTGCTTCCAAACGCTCGAGTTAATTTTATCATAAATCAAAAACGTACACCTTACAGTGATAATCATACCATAATTTATTTTTAATAAAAAATATGATAGTGTTAACAATCACTTAATATTTTCCTATATTCAGTTATTTCACAAAAGTTTATTTTCATAAGAGGCAACCAATTGCAATCCTTTTATCAAATAACCAAATTGTCTCTTGATTAACCTTGGTTTTTCATATTCAAATTTTACAGGTCGGCGATATGGGGAGAAAAGACTTCCAATTCACCCAAAGAAACCCCTTATAGGACACCCCAAAAAGACATTTGGAAGCAAAGGAGTCATAGGTAATAAGAAGAAGGTAGGATTCTTTGATGGTTTCCGAAAAAAGGGAATATTTGGCGGATCAAAGAAAGGACTTAACAAAGGCACTATAAAGGACAAAGGGATCATTCCCGGTAAAACTGGACTTATTCCGGATACTAAGATTATTCCAGACAAGACTGGAATAATCGGTACATGTCCTTCAAGACCGTGTCTCCAAACACAAGAATTCATCCCACAAGAATGTCGTAGACCTCAATTCTTCCTCCACAATGGCCGCCAATGTCCCGACTGTGATATTGATATTTGCATAGGTGGATCCATTCTTCCTGATAATGGAGGGGTTTTTGGAGGAGGACTAGGACCAAGGGCACCTCTTGGGCCAAGACGGAATCTTCCTGGTGACCTGGATTGGCAGAGAGGTATTGGAACAGATTTTCCTGTTATTCCAGGAGGAGTAAGTACCCCAGTAAATGGCGCATTTCTCCCAGATCCACGATTTGGTGGACAGATTGGACCGGATCAATTCGGACCGGGAAGTTTTGATCAGTTCGGATTACAAAATGACAGACAGTTTGGTCCTTTACCAAACAGTGGACTAAATGGACTAAACGATCGCTTCAATGCTGGATTTAGTGATTTTGATCCGTCATGGAACACAGGAAATGTGGGAGATTTCGGTGCTTCCTGGAGAGACAATGCTATACCGACCAACAGGCGGTCTAGTTTTATCTAATCATTGCTTGCTGTGATATTCCTATTTATATAACATGAACTTGAAATCCCTCCTTTTTAATAAAATATTGTTTGTTTAAAGCTTTGCTTTGTGAGTTTTTTTCTGCGTTATATACCCATGTAAAAATAATTTAGGGTTATTAAACTTATTTTGATGAATAATGGCACGAGTTGGCTGTACAAATACAGGAGCTTTTGGGTGCATTTGTACAGCGGACGAGTGCCAGTATTCACCAATATAAGTTCAATAACTCCTTTATTATATAGCTAAATATATCCCATTAATTTAAAATAATTATTTCAAATAAATAACTCAAATTAATAAGAACTTTTCGGTATTGGTATTTAGATTAAAACTGAAATATCAGCGTCTGTCCTGTAAGTGTTCAATATTACGTCACACGTATCATTCCACTGACCCTAAAGAGCGTTATGATTTGCTTATTTACGTTTTTATTGAGTCTAATTGATACTAAATTATTAATTAATAATTTTGACTGTGTGTAAAAATGAACACATCTTACCTAGCAGCCACTACTCATCATAAATGTTGCCTGTTTACCAGACGACAACGGGGCGTTTGATATTGAACGCTTGCATTCGGAATGTTTCGGGGCATGCGTGAATACGTAATACAATCCCAGCGTTCAATAAAATGCCAAGACATTGAACTCTAAAATACTCTAGACCTTTAGAAGTTTTTTTTATTGTACCCAATTCGGTTCAATAAATAAAATTGAATGAAAGATATTTATATTTGCTTGGAAGTTTAGGCTTTTTTTTTTTTAAACGATAAGGATATTTGTTCCAATGATTAATTATATTTTTAATATGGCTCTTCCAGTGGCTCCGTTTGTTTGTTTGTTTATTTATTCCTTGAGCCATATGGCTTATCAGATTACAACATTACAAATACAGGATGTATAGCACGGACGATATGTACATACATAAAATATCTACATATACTTGTTTTAACATACGATTGTTTGTATACAATATTTCCAACCAAACATTAAAAAGAATCCTTAGTTTACAGATGTAAATATCTAAGTGCTTCTGCTTTTTGGAGGAATTTCCCTATATTACTTAGTTCACTCACATTTTCAGTTGATAATAATTGTAAGAGTTTATACATACTAGGTCTATACCAATAATACTTTTTAATATACAATTTCCTGTACTCATAATAAAGTGAGCATTTTAATATAAAATGGTACTCATCTTCAACTTCCATTTGGCAACAAAAACATAATCTATTCTCCCTAGGAATATTAGTAAATCTTCCCTTCTCAATCATTAATAAATGTGCACTTAGTCTATATTTTGTAATCAATTGAATATACTTGGTTGGAATATGTTTCATTAAGTAGGATTGCATGCACAGCTTATTTGTTAAATATCCATACACAGAACACTTTGATGACGAAGAAAAAAAAGCCTCACATTTTTGTTGGAAACAGTCAGTTAATCTTTGTTTAAAAATTTTTAAAAATATATTTTTGTTTGTAATATTTTGACAATACAAAACTTTTCCAAACCCTAATGAAAATAATAAATATTTTACATTAAATAACCAATTATATTTTGTACAAGAACTTGTCTCAATTCTTTCAAGCATATCTTGGTTAATACTTATCAATATACAATTTTCTGACTCCAATAATTTTACCCAAAACTTTATAATACGAATTTTCCTTTGAATAAAAAGAGATAAGCGACCAGGTTCATTATAGATCATCAATGACGAGGTATTTTTTCTCACTTTCAACATAATTTTGAGATATTCTAAATTCATTTTCTCTATAGCATCACCTTTGTGGAATCCCCATATTTCACTTGCATAATTCAATATACTACTTACATAAATATCAAACAAAGATAAACAAGTAACAAAGTTAAAATGCACATTTTTCATAGACTTCAAAAGTTTAAACATACATTTCCTCCCTTGAGTAGCCAATTTTACCTGAGATTTATGAAAATTACCTGTGTATGTCAGAGTGAGACCAAGATAAGTAAACTCATTGACAGCTTCAACTTGACAACTTCAGTGGCTCCGTACAAAAGCATAGGCCGTCACTGAGTCAAGGAGAGTGAAATGTGATGGAAATCAAACTTTTAGGGTAATATCGAGTGTTACATATAAAAAGTCTCCAGCGCAATACGCTTGAATAGATCCTATTTTGTCTCATGTTCTTTAAAACACAACACAGAGGATGTCTATTTAGAAACCTCATTTTACTTGCACCAGACAAAGAGTTACATAAGAATTCACATCTACACTTAGACTGGTCTCTACAGAACTGCTGCATCACCAATTCTCAGGGTAGTATCTCTGTCATGAGGATGTTGAAACCGTCAGCTAGTCCTTTTCGAATTTGATACATATATCAATGTCACATCCGGGACACAACTTTCCTTTGAATACGAAGAAGGACTTCCGGCGGCATTGTGGGGGTATGAGTTGAAGAGTGAAAGGTCGTCCTGGACACTGGACACCCTGTGTGTACCCCAATCCAACAACGAGATAATTTCTACTTCTAGATCGGTGTCTCTGACCTATATACAAAAAATTGCACAAGAAGTTTTATGTGTTTTAATGAATGCCGAACTTTTTAAACATTTTATGCAGATAAAAGGAATTGCAAAACTTTCAAAGTGTTGGATAAGTAATAAAAAATTTAGTAATAACCAGTAAGAACCATCTACTAAGTTTTGAAAGGACAAATCTTTTAAAAATGTAATAGCACTATGATAGTATTTTAATGCTTGTTTTTTAGTACATAGAATGAATTGATTCAGTTTTAACGTGATAAAGTACAGTATGGTGATAATCCTAAAAAGATACATGCGTAATTAAACCAGTAATTATTACATGTATTATATTTTATTTGCTAATGATATAATTGCATCATTTTCTCAGTTTCAAAAATTTAGCATCTTACCTTCTGAAACAACAACAGCAAAAGTAACAAGAATAAGAAGTGTTTGTGAAATTTTCATATTTCAAATTTCGGTAGAAGGATCTTTTGTTATCTACAAGCTCTCGAATCACACTTTTATGCAGATCTGTTATCCCGGAAAGAGAGTCAAGCCAGTTCTGTGATGGTTTTTTTGTAATGGTAAGTCTATAACTTCATCAAACGAATGCAGTTTCAACAGACCATGGCGACAAAGTCCACTGACCGGTCACCGTTACAAATTATGAATATAATATGAGCAAAGGATTTGATTGGAGAACAATATGCTGAGGTTATGGAAAAATAAGACAATCTAGGGAAAAATGACATCAGAGTACAACAATTCTTAATCCATTATTTTGATCTCAAAATTATCAACATTTAGAAATGTATTTTTCACTGTTGACGATTTATTTCAATATGATAATCTAAAATGAAGAACAGGAACCCATTTTTTTTTCGAATCAAGAATAATTCTTAGAATTAGATCAGTAACAGATAAAGTTTGTACCTTTGGCAAGATTTTTTAACAATCTTTTTTTAACGAAAGCCTTGGCTTATATAGAGGAGGACACACACACATACTGTACACACACTCAAGTATTATTTAACTTTTACGAAATTAGACAAATTGTAGCTCTTAGTACTATTTATCCCTGATAGAAAAGTTGTAGCTAAAGTTTTCCCCCCTATTTTCTCAAGCACAAATTCTATAATTTAGTTAAAGCTTCATCGAATTCGAAGAAATACAATACCTTTACAAATAATTTTCAACCCTTAATCATCTATAAAAGATCTAAACCCCTTTGCAATCCTTAATGTAAAAGAGTGTTTTCAATAGTAATTTCTACATAGAGGCTTCTAATAAGCTGAACTTCCTTACACGAAATAAATTACCATTAATGAAAAAGGAACATTATGGATCGTTCTACGTTAAGGTTGCAACATGTCACAAAGCAGATGGATTATCTCAGTTGATTAACACGCTCTAGTACAACAAACTCAACAGAGAGATGTTTTAAACAATGGTTTCAATCCCACTGTTAATTCATTCTCTTAGAATATATTAGAAATGAAAATAGGCCTTTTACTTTTGTTTCACAAAAATATTTTTTCTTAATTTTCATATCTTAGTTCTGATAAAATTGCAATATCAGAAATAATTGTAAAGCCATTCTCTTGAGGTTTAATGACAAACTTGCATTGTAAACCATACTCTTTCAGATCCCTGTCAACTCCCGATGATAATATGATGATATCGGAATTCCAAAAACCTACTGTACAACTGCCTGACATGGCCAAACTTATGCAAAAAGGAGCAGGGTCTTTCTGCCATGTGTACTGTAGGATGAGATACTATGTCAAGCAAAGGCCAGCTGAAAGTTTAATTGATATATATAATTATATATATATATATATATATATATATATATATATATATATATATATATATATATATATATATATATATATATATATATATATATATAAACTTTCTCCAGAAATTGCAGACATGAAGGCACTCAGAGAATGCAAATACGTTTCCCGTTTTCTCTTTATTCTTGCCATTTTGTTTTTAGCTGCAATATGTCTAATTTCCACATGGAAATTTGAAGTAGACATATTAACTTTTAAACAACTCAAATATTAACCACTGTAAAGTAAAAACTTCAGACGTATTGTGCTACAGTGTATTCTAGAAGTGGTGTAATTCAAATGTGGATTCTCAAAAACTCCAAAAAACTTTAAGAAAATATAAAATCACATTTTTTTTAAAAAGTTAGTAACATCAAAATGTAAGACTTTTCTACACTTTTTAAAACAATCTCTCACGACTGCTTAAGAACTAGGCTTTTTGATATCATAGACAACTGCAATTGCAATAAAACTGAAATTTTCATATCTTGTAATTTGGGTTCATGCAACAAAATTACTTTGTTAAAAATCACTCTGATTCTGCACGCAAGTACTTTGAAATTGATATTAAAATAATGCTGGGGTTCCTCATTGACATCTACGTCTTTCCTTTATTTCAAGCTACAGTCTTTA